CAGGGCGGGGTGGGGGGCGAAACCGTAATTACCCTGCGCCTGCGCCACCCAGTCTCACCCCTGGGCGGCCCGCAGCTGGAGGTTGGAGCTCCGCTCGGCCTCCTACCCCAGACCCGCACACACCCACAGTTCAGATGACTGAACCAGTCCCGCCTGCGACTCAGGAAACGAAAACCGGGCTGTCTTGCTTCCCCGCGGCGGTGCGCAGTGAGCAGTCTCGTGGGGTCCCGCCACGAACACGTCCACCGGCTCACGCGCCTTCTCGGGCTCCATTTCCAGTAACTCTTTTGGGGTGCAATTCGTTTTGGAAAGACAAAACATTGGTACCTACAACGGATTAAAAGCAAGACCAGCATCTGACGCAGCCATCATGCTTTACACTTGAAAGGGCGCTTTGTCACCCCAGGCACACAAGTAGGCTCGCCGAGGTTTGCCGGGTGAACGCGCTCCGGCGCCCCCTCTCAAAATCTCACCACATAATCTCACTCCTCACACTCACACCACAGGGCAACAACAGCGTTCTCGCCATTTTAGAGGAAACTGAGGCTCCAGAAGAAGCAGTCACACCAACCAGTAGGTGGCGACGCTGGAGCTCAAGTCTCCAAAACTAAATTCAAGGCCAAGGTTTTTTCTTCTCTAAGAAATAAATTCTCCCAGGCTCAGCCTTCGTTTTTCTGTCCGTCACCCACAAGAGGTGGGAGAACTTCCGGAGAGACAAAATCAAGCCTCGCCGCACACTTCCAAGCGGGGCGGGAACCCATGAGCGCGCCCCAGCTCCCGCGGAGGGGCGCGCAGGGGCCGGCCTTCGGAAGCGGGAGGGAGGGATGCGCTTCTCCCGGCTGCCGGTCAGGTCGTGGTGCTGCAGGCGACAGATTGTGGGACCCTGTGAGTGAAGGAAGGGCAGCGTGACTGGCCGCGTCCCGGGCGAGACAGGTCCTGAGCGTGCTGCGTGCTGCGTGCAGCGCCCTGGCCTCCCCCACTTCTCCACGTTTGGCATCATGACTTCAAACCTCAGATCTGTAGAGCGCGAGGCTGCTCAGAGTTCTGCAGAGTTTTGAAGGCTGCTGATCTCCTGCAAAGAAAATAAAGCCCGAAGAGAGAAAAGGAAGCTTCTAGGGTCATCCAGCTGACCGTGCCGCGCGTTCGCGCCCAGGGGTGGGGTGGGCTTCCCTCCTTCGGGTCCACTATGGGCAGGGTGGCCGGGGAAAGCAAGTGCTCAGAAGTCCGGGGAAGAATAGGTGAGAGGCGGGTGGGCTGACTGTGAAGGCTCCGGGGAAGCCCCGGATGTAACTTGGCGAACTTCCACGCGTCAGAGGACAGTGAGTAAAGAGAGAACCCATGGAAATCGAGATGTACCCGTGAACCTTTGTCTTCTTCCTAGTCCTGCCCTGTCTCCTACTCCTTGCTGTAACCTGCACTCCCCCTCCACAGGCTGGGCACAGCTGTCCGCGGAAGCCTTGGGAAGGTCTGGCCTACCTCCAGGCAAAGGAGTGTACGGGACCGCACAGGGGCTGTGGGTATAGAGGAGAGAGAATGAATGAATAGCCCTTCTTAAAGTTCCACACCTTTTTCTATCGAATTTATACTCCTCTGCGTTGAGTCAATTAAGTGCAATAAAACCTTGCATGGAACCTCTCTTCCTAGCAAAGCTTCGGCAACAATTGCCTAAGGGGTAAACCAAATGCTCCTGAGATAATCACACTAAGCCTGGGGCAATGATTTGCCTGACTGGTCCTCAGCGCCAGCCAATATTTGGTTAAAGTAGTAGTTGTTTAAAAAGAAAGAAAGCTACACACAGAAACTTAAAACCGACTGGTTCGTGCCGCCGAAGTGGTTATACGATCTGTTTTTCTTGCACTAGGGTCTGCAGGCAGCTGGAGCGCGCACGTCCTGGTGCTCCCGCGCGCCAGCAAAACTTGCCTGAATTAAATCAACCTCGGGGGGGAAGGGAGGGGAGGAGGGAGAGCTCGCCCTACTGGTCGGCAGGAGCTCTTATTTACTGCCTTGCCCCACGCAAAGCTGACCTCGAGGCTTGCGTCCTTAGGCATCCAACCCGAGAGTTGCCGGCCTGCAGGCTGTAACTCCGGTATCTTATCCCGTGAACGTCTGACTCACAGCTTCAAGGTTCAAGAGTCACAATACGCGCGTAAGTGCAGTGTGTGCCCTCAAAGGGATCCTTTCCCTCGCTCAATCCCTATACTTCCGACAGCCCACTTGCCCAAGGAGAAACTTCCCCAAACTGCCCCCTGCTTAAAAAATGGAAGCACTTGACTTTACTGGACCCCGAGAGAGAGGTGCCCTCGAAAACATCAACATAAGATCTCTTTGCCCGAGCTGCACGTAAGTCCCAGCCCATAAAACCTTTAGGACTTTGCGCACGGAGCTCTCCAAAGCCACCTTAAGGGGCGAGCAGAACCGCAGATTTGCGGACTCCTGAGCTAGGACAGCACTTTTCTCGCACCACCTAAATCAAGGGAGAAGGGGCAGTCCAGCTTCATCGGACCCCAGCTGTCATTCGAATCCTGGCCGTCCTTGGAATTCCTCTGTGGCTCCTCGAAGGCAGGAGATCTTCTACGGCTGGCTCCTCTCATGGAATCAAAATCCCGCAGAAACTCCTTTAGCAGAAGGAACGTTGCCGGCACGGAGTGACAGCAAAGGCAATCTCCTCCCCTTATGCCAGGCCAAGAGGCTGCTATTTCCCCCAGGGTCCTGTTGCACGTTTCACCCCAACACCTGTTCTAGGACGTCTGCCAGCCTAGAACAAGTTACACGGCAGCACCCGCTGGAAATCTAACCCCTGGCTAATGAAGGAAACTGAGCCTGCCTGCTCACCACACCCCTAAGACCCAGCTAAGACCTGTCGGACCTACGCCCATAGTGCAGCTCATCAAAAGCAGCAAGCTGAAAACATCCCGCTGGTATCCTAAGACTGCGTTAGAGCCAGCCTCGCAGTCTCTGGGGCCCAGGGCCTACAGGTTTAGGCATGGGAAAGAGAAAATTAGAATCAGTGAACCATAGTCTCTAACTGCTCTTTTCTCTCAAATCACGGAACTGGAAAGAACCCGTGAAATTTCCAACTTCAGACGCCTCATTCGCCGTCAGAATATAATTTCAGGTTCTCCTTGCTATCAATTGTCTCGCTGCAGTGCGCAGCACAGTGCACACAAGAAGCCCGTAAGCAGGGGGAACTCAGCTCCCGGCTCATCTACCTTTCGCTCCCAGGTCACACCACGGCCCCGCGGGTTGAGCGTGTTGGCTCCCTAATTCATGTTAACCCTCTTCCTCTACCTTCTCACGCTAAGCACAGCAGGCTTCCTGCACACTCAGACGATGGGACCCCTGAGCTCCCAACTCTTCTATCCCAAGCTCAGCCATCTTCGTCCTCAGCGAAACCTCGCGCTGCTCAATCCACCCTTTCGGGGGCAGTGTGTTAGGGCCTCTGTCCACCAAACCCTTGTTTATTCTGGGTTCCTGGTTATTGTCTCACTCTCTAGACCGCTGCCTCCCTGTAGCTGGCACGGGGTATACAATAAAATTATGATGAACTTGGCGTTTAATGAAAATGTCCCCGAAGTGTTTCTCCTTATTAACCTCTCCCTGTAACCCTCCGGGCACCGGGATTTCTCCCAGAGACGAGGCCTTGAGGACAAGGTGCTCTGAACTTGACCCCAGTGGCTAAGAGGAAAAAAGAGCCAAGCGCGTACATGGAAATAAGGCTGGGCAAAAAGGAGTGGGAGATGTAGGAAAGTAGGGGATCGAGAATGCAGTTCCTGGTCCCGGTCTACCGCGCATCACGGCCCGGGTGGGGCGCAACTATGGGGACCACACTGGGCGGTGCGCCCTCCCAAGGGGCAGTCTGCGCTTCCGCCACACGGCCGCGGCTAGGGCTTCGGGCGGTGGCGACCGCGAGCGGTGAGGGCTCCGGATGGGGGTGGAGGAGAGGGCGGGGGGGAGCACTGCGCCTTCGAGCCCCTTTCGCTAGAGACTCGGCGGCGGCGGCGGCGGCGGCGGCGGCGTCCCCCAGCCTCGGTCATGTGATAGTCTCGAAGCGCGAGCTGCAGGGGTCTCGGCGTCTCGGGGACTATTACAAAACGCAGCCAGGAGAGCGCGTCGCTACCACTGCCGCCGCCTCGCCTCCTCCAGACCCGCCCGGGAGAGCGGCGGCAGCTGCAGCGTGGACGGCGGCGGCACAGGTCGGAACCAGCCTCGCCTTCGCCGGGCAGACGCACCCTCCAGCCATCGGTTCTTGCCCCGCGTCCTGCGCCCCCGGCTTGCTGCAGAGGACTTCCTGCAGAGCCGCCGCGGCCGCGGACCTCACCAAACTTTTCCCCTTCCGTCCACTGGTCTTCTGAGACTCTCGGAGAAAAGAGGTGCACAGGCTGCCAGGAGAGGAGCGTCTCCCCGACTTTCCCTGACTCTCCACTCCAGGAAAAGCAGAACTCCCGCGCGGACTGCCTACAGCAGGGCCTGGACGCGGCGCTCAGGGAAGTTCTGCGGTCTCCGGCTTCCAGGACGGGGACCGCAAACTCGGGTTTTAAGGGCCAGAACCTCCGCGGTCAGGTCCTCCCCCCCGGAGCGCGGCCTAGGCTTCCTTTCGACGGGAAGAGGCCAAAAGAAGAGGCCAGAAGGAAGCACGGCTCCAGCCGTCGCCGACTCCGACGCTGTCTCTGGCCCCCGGGGTGGGGGGTGCAGAACAACAAGGTGACGGTAAAGCTGGCGGGTCCCGCTCGAGACGGTGCTCGCCTGTGGGTGACCATCGAGACCAGGCGTTGCGAGGGTCCGAGAGCAGAGCTGCCCGGAGAGGCCAAGTGCGGGGACCTCCAGCCTCTCGGCGAAGGCTGGGGACAGAGGCAGAGAGGGCCCGGCGTCTGCGGGAGGGCGGGTGACGGGCGGGACGCGCGGAGTGGGAGCCTAGCGGGGGCACCCAGGCCCCAGGAGCCGGGGACGGAGCGACACTGCGGCCCAGCTCGGGCCGGAGGGCGGCGGAAGGGCCAGGAGCGATGCCGCGGCCGGGGAAGAGCTCGTACAGCGACCAAAAGCCGCCCTACTCGTACATCTCGCTGACGGCCATGGCCATCCAGCACTCGGCCGAGAAGATGCTGCCGCTGAGCGACATCTACAAGTTCATCATGGAGCGCTTCCCCTACTACCGCGAGCACACGCAGCGCTGGCAGAACAGCCTGCGGCACAACCTCTCCTTCAACGACTGCTTCATCAAGATCCCGCGGCGGCCCGACCAGCCCGGGAAGGGGAGCTTCTGGGCGCTGCACCCCGACTGCGGCGACATGTTCGAGAACGGCAGCTTCCTGCGGCGCCGCAAGCGCTTCAAGGTGCTGCGTGCGGACCACGCTCACCTGCACGCAGGGGGCAGCAAGGGCGCGCCGGGAGCGGGGCCCGCGGGGCACCTGCACGCGCACCACGCGCACCATCCCCACCACCATCACCACCACCACCACCACGCCGCCGCCCACCACCACCCGCCGCCGCCGCCGCCACACATGGTGCACTATTTCCACCAGCA